TATTCATACTCTGAACACGTCGGTAAATAACCAGAATGTGTAACAGATTAAACCTCCTTCTCAGGCTGCCGTACATCTCTCAGCTCAGCGAGACCCGACAGCACGAGCAGTGCTCATTCACTCAAATAGTGCAACTGCTCGTGCTGTTCCAGGAGGCCTGAGACTCATGGCGCCAAATGTCAGTCAACCAAAATTTAGGTCAATCTAAGCTATTATATCCCCCTGTAATTAGTAGGCATGGCCAGAGGGTGATGCCTCCAGTCTAACTGAGCATAACTGCTTCCTAGTGGTGGCCACCTCTCTTCACGACTTCATGACTCTAAAGGGAGTTATGGGATCCTGCTCTTATACAGCTGATATCTGCAGGCATGAATCTTTCCAAGGAAGACAAATGTCTCTTCCAAAATGAGTTACCTGACTAATTACGGAAAACCTACCAAAATACACACATGCAGCCAATTTTCCTGTGTTTTACTAAGACTGTCTTCTTAATGGGTGAGAAAAAGACATAGACAAACAGACATAAATTGATTCTATCATTGTATTTAATTTTTTTTTTAAATTGTCAATTAATAGCTAATTATAAACAAAATCAATTGCAAAACCTAAACCTTGGACAGAACCCCGTGTTACCAGTACGTGCTGGGGACTGACAGGCTAAGGAGCAGTTCTGCAGAAAGTGACCTGGAGGTCCAGGGGGGCAACAAGTGGATTTAGGGCTGCAGAAGGGAAAGCTGAGGGATGGAGATGGGGAGGGGTGGGGAATCTAGTTCCCAAAGGGACGCCTCATCTACTGGCATATGCACGTATGTACGCATGCACTAGTATCCGTTGAAATGGAAATACGGAGCTAGGTGAACCTCACACAGCCCAGAGTAGAAAAGACATCTAATGCAGCACTGTTTCAGCTGCACAAAATGGACCATCAAAGCTGGAACTTGGTACAACAAGTCTTTTTCTGATTTGCAATGGGTGCAGGTGGCATTGACCCGCTGATACGGGGCATGATGGTTGATCATGCAAAACTGATGAAACAGAATCAGCTGCTTGTTGAGGAGCTCCAGAACCACCTTTTTGAACAGACAGAGATAATGGGTCTGGATCTAGCAGCCCTGAACATGCAACGGGGGAGAGACCATGGCCTTCCAGGTAAGGAGACACAAGTCCACACATCCTGTGAACAATACTCTTTTTTTCTTCTGCTGTTTATAGTAGTTCCACAAAGGTACTAAGCTTTTTCCATACCAATGGGAAGAAACAGTACCTCGATTTGAGGGCGAAGGATGGATAGACAGTCGAGCTCAGGGAAGAAAAAGTCTCTGTATTATAAAGATCTTTTTGTGTCTTAAGACAAGCACAAAAGGCTTGGAAAGCAAAGATGATATTTGGGATAATTATTACAAATATGGGTAGAAACAATAGTGTATTGCAAAGCGAGAGCATGTGGGGTACAGAACATACAGACACAAGCAACTAAGTTCAGCTTTCAGGCAGGCTAGGCAGACCAGCTGTGCTTTGTTCTTTGCCCATCAATGCTTATTTTGTGTCTTCAGACAACCCAGAGCTCTGAGCAGCAGTGGCTTGCACGCACAGGTGTGATTGCCCCCAGGCGCTGGAGAAGAACGGGCTCTCTTGGGTTAAGCATAACCAAATGTTGCTCTTTTCTAGGACTTTGAGCCTAGAAGTTTTGCATCCCAAAACGGCAAAGACTGGTTCATTCACTGTCAGCACTAGGTAGCTGTAACCAACAGGATGCGATGAACCTGTAGTCATGTGCAAAGACAAGCCAAATTGTTAGTTTAATGTGTGCATACAAAAGGGACTTTTGAAAACATAGCGTTTGTTGTGACTGTCTAGGCCATAATGTCTTCCAGATCCTTTAATGCCATGAGAAGAAGCAGACACTGCTGATGGGCCAAGGGGTCTGTTTAGCTCCTAAGCCTAGGTAAATGGTGGGGAGACGTGGGTCCTGATCAGCTGCTGTTCCTGCTTTTGCAGGTTACAATGCCTGGAGGCACTTCTGTGGGCTCTCCCAGCCTCAAAACATAGGTGAATTCTCTGAGGTGCTAGGCAATTCCAAACTGGCCAAGAAGTTCATGGAGTTGTATGGGACACCAGACAATATTGACCTCTGGATTGGGGCAATCGCAGAGCCCTTTGTTCCCCAGGGCAGAGTTGGACCCCTCCTGGCCTGCCTCATTGGCACCCAGTTCAGGAACCTGCGTGATGGGGACAGGTAGGTAGCTCTGAGAGCAAACCTTCCCCATGGCATTTATTATGGGAAAAAATGCCGACATTTCATGCGACGCACTAATCCAGCCCGTCTCCAACATGCCAGTGAGTGCTCCCAGCAAGGCTCACACCTTGATTTTAGCCCAGTTGCGAAAGGGGTCTTTTCTGCAGCCCATTCCTGCAGACCCATGCAGTTGAGGAGCACCAGCTCCAGGCCATGGGTGACCTGCAGTAGTCTCTGCCTGAGGTGACATTTGCTCTCAGGGTACAAAAGGGGAGGATCAGTCACTGCGTCCCAGCAGCCCAGCCTGGAAGAGGCAGGCTCTCCGCACTGGCAGATGAGTGGCAGCATCCAGACCTGGCCACACCTGGAGACACCTCTTTCCAAAGGGGTGTGCCCACTGCCTGATGAATCAAGGTGGACCTGAGCAGAGACTCCCCTTGGGCAGATTCTCATCTTGGCAAGGAACCAGCACCAAATGCCTTCAAGGAGACTATAAGCTGCTTCTGAAAATATCATTGCAGATTCTGGTGGGAGAAACCGGGAGTTTTCACTCCACAGCAGCTGCGTGCACTGAGAAAAATCTCACTGTCAGCAGCGATATGTGACAATACTCATATCAAAAAGATACCGAGGGATGTGTTCAAGGTCAACAGCTATCCTGAGAACTTCGTTGACTGCCATGAGATCGACACGCTCAACCTCTCACCCTGGAAAGATGAGCGTGAGAGTGGCACAAAAGGTAAGCAGAGGTCTGTCAAAAATAATAAATTTTCTACAAGGTCAGACTCTTGTGCGCCTAAAGAAATAAAAGAATTAAGGTCATCACGGTGACTCTGCCCCCAAAAGACCTTGACCATCCATTCAGCCCCACCCAGACACCACTGGAGGCAGACGTATTGTTAGCCTAGCCTCCTTGCAATCCATCACCTTCATCATTCCTTAGTAGCCTACCTCTTCCTCTTCAAGTAGATGGGAAATCCCTGAAAATCCAGTCTGTTCTGGTCCTTGTGAATGTGTCCTTCTCTAAGCACCTTATTCCAGGAAAACTGGAGTCTTCCTTCACAGGAAGAGCATCCATGAAGAAATCAGTCAGAATTAGGCAACCTGCTCCAAATTCTTACGTTGCCGCTCCAAGCCCCTGCTCTCCCCTTGCCTTCCCTAAAGCTTTAAAGCATTTTAAGGTATATCTGGAGTTGTTTTGAGACCGTATGGCCTGACACATCAGTAGTTTAATATGCATAGTCAGAGATTATGATGTGCCACATCCTGAAAGACAGTAAAACAGTGTCCTCATACATGAGATGAGGAACTAGCTGTGTCCTCCTGCTGATATACTTTTGGCACGGGCTCTGCCAGTTGGAAATAATACAGGGAGAACAGAGACTTGCAGAAGACAGGTATGGCCTGAGCAGAATGGACTGGATTGAATTTTTCCTTCTGGCAACCCATTTATAGATGATCACAATACCTGAGGATCACCTACTCTGGCCTTCTGTAAGGCACAGACCACAAAGCATCTCCATGCAGTTCCTGTACTGAGTTTGGTTAACTGTATTTGAGACAAACACTGCTCTTTAAGACAGACATTTGCACTTGATATGAAGGCTAAATTATGGTGACTTCACCCCATTCTTTAGGAACAGAGTCCAGCTGATGCTCACCTTTGCCCTAAACAATAGAAGCTTCCTGATTTCTTTTATTAACTTAGTCTTACAGTCACTAAAACTTGCTGAGCTGCTTCCTGTGGCTTTTTTATTACCAGGCTGGGAGGAAGCTGAACTGTGTTTGCGTAACCCAGAGACAGTGAAAAAAGCAACAGCTAAAAGTTTAACTTGTTCAAGTGCCAAGAAATTGCCGCCAAAGCAGTTGTCCAAAGGGCTCTTTGGTGTTAGTTTGCCGGAGGTACCTTTTGACAAGGCTGGAAGCAGTGCGGTGTCTCAGGGGTGACCGGGTACTCAGTCACCTATTCGCCAGCGGCTATTTTAAGCTATGGAGTCAAATAAAAATGTGGGGAGAAATATTGCGTCCTGGGAAGATTTTCTGCCTCTCAGTAGCTTTTTCTGCTTCATTGACAGTTCCTAATCCTGCTCATCAGACCAGTGTTGGAAACTCCTAACGGTGGCACTAAGCTGCTTTTGGGAAACTGCTGCTCAGCTGACTCCTGTCGACTGGACCTCGGCACATGATTTCCCAGAGATGAGCTCAAGACTATGTCTACTGTTTTATTTGCTATACTGTGATTTTTATATCATTTATTTGTAAAAGCTTCCAGATGGAAGGGTAATGACATTTTACAGTCTATTGCCCTAAAAAAATGTTCAAAGGTGTGCAAGACTTGGTTAGGTGCTGGATGCTTTATGACTCTCTAAAGGCCCAATCAAGACGAATTTTTTACTTCCCATCCTGAATGGGTGTCAAATTTGGAGGTTGGCATGCTCGCATTTCAAAATCAAATTCCTTATCCTTTGTACCTGCTCAGAAATTAGCAAGTTCATGTCATCTTTGTCAAAACTTTCCTGATCTCCTTGTTTTGCACAAGAGCATAAACCGTTTAGGCTGTTTCTAATTAGCAGTGAGATCTCACTCTTTGAAGACACTGGAAAATGGCAGCTGCATCTTGAAACCTAGAGACATCTTTTATTTAAATCCTATACTGAACATGTGTGTGTTTGGCTGTGCTGGGCAGTAATAAAATACATTATATGCACTCATCTACATTTGGCATCAATTCTGGTATGTCAAATGTGTCTAAAACATTCTTTGGCTATGGTTCATAGCTAAAGGTGTCAGCATAAAAAAGCAAACTATAAGCTGGCTCCTCCCCACTCACATTTTCTTCGTGCAGGGAGTGTGCCACCTCTGTCAAGGTAGTGTCAGTAGACTCTTCAATAGTCAATAGTCTCTGTCAATAGACTCTTCTGTCTTCTTGCAGTCAATGAAAATGAATCCTGAAAGCCAGCATGCTAGGCCGAAAGTGCCCATGTAGAGGATTTCCTTCTTTGCAATGGGCACACAGCGACTTGGTAATATCACCGTGACCACTGGAAGGGGGCAACAAGGACAGAACAAGTTGTCATCTGCACTGAGGTTTCCTCCAGATTCTGGGCTACAGCCCTCTGCTCTGGGAGATGCCATGCCTGCAGTGCTCATCCAGCTTCATAGGATCAGAAACATGTTGGGAAAGGGATTCTGGGGGTCTCCAGACCAACCACCCACTTAGACGAGGACTATGGCTGACACCGAATGAGAGCAGCTCTGACACGGCTGTGGTCAACTGACACTCTCATCCCCATTCTGTTGGAAAGGCTGAAGCTGATTTAGCTTGAAAATACCTATTGGGCTCTAATACCCTGAAGAACAGCCTAACTTGGGGCTAGCAGGTAATGGACTATGTAGCAGCCACTCCTGCCTGTGGTACGTGGAATTTTGTACTGCCCTTTCCTACAGAAAACTGGGGCCGGGAGCAGGAGGCAGGATCACCACATACCCACACTGTCAAGGGAGGGCTGATGATTCAACACAACGACAAAATGTTTGTTAGTCCTGAGGTTTTCCTTGCCCTTCACCACTACTTTGAGCCCAAAGATGTATTTGAGCGGCAGAAATCACATGTGCAAAAACCTGGAAAAAGGGAGCAGACATAAGCCAACAAGACGCTGAAATTGGGTAAAGGAACCAAAGACCATTCTTCCAAACCAACCCATCTCACAGACTGCTCCTGCAGAGCAGCCTGTTTCTCCATGCTCCTAGATTTGACCCATGACTTGGAGAAGACCAGCTAGTACCTCTCTTCGGCTCATCACTTTGTTACAGAAGACAAATACACCTGGTAGGTTTTCTTCAAGCCAGGTTAGACCGATGGCCAAGCAACTTCAGCTACAGCAATTCTGTGGATCAGCCAAATATTAGCTAATGCCCAAATTCATAGTGCAGCTGTTTGTACTCTACTTCCCTGCCCACCTTGCTGAATCTTGAGCACAGGCTGCCATAAACATATCATGCACCTAACTCCGCTATTGCCCACGCTGTGGAAAGAGAGATGATTTTGCCTCTGGGTGACATTAGACTGCAATTCTGCCAGCCATATTTTAACAGATACTGGAAAAATAAAGTATAAAAGTCAGGCACAAAAGTCAAGAACTGAAGAAAATTTCTTAAAGTGAAAGGCTGATGCTTAAGAGATACGAACTCCCACTGCAGCATACAACAATGAAGGAGTAAATCCTGCCTCTGCAGCACTTCAGGAGGCTGCAGGCACTATGCTGCTGTACAGCAGAGTCAGCTTCTAGCCCCCACTCAACCCACACCCCGGGTTACTAATGCCCACTGCTGCCAATTGCAGGCGCACACCCAGCTGCACGGCCTCTGGGTATGTAAGTCCAGCAGCTCGCTGCAGAGGCAGTAACAGATGGAGAGAGGGCATGGGCAGCAAGGGAATAGGCTCAGAGACCACCAGACCTGGGGGCACCGGGCTGCAATTGCGGCGATGGGGACACCGGTGACAATGCCAGCACTGCACCACGTCAATGTCTGCTCGTGCCTGTTCAGGTGGGCACTGGGTCAGAACAAAGTTGAGAAAAAGAAGAGCACCTGCAGAGGTTTTCTCAACACAACTTAGAAGGGGAATGACCAGCCACACGGAGGAGGGAAATACAGCTTGGAAGACCAGATAGGAGAGGTTCACGAAAAAAAGGCAAGTTACTTTACCTGTATATTACATCCAGTTTGTTGGCATTACCTAGTTTGCCAAATTTATGTCACCTTTTACAGCCTTTCCTTCCCTCATTTGTTGTTCTTTCTATCAACTCAAATACAATACTGAAACCCACACCCCTTCTCTCAATTACAGGGCCTGGCAAGCCTCCACACCAATATACAGCAACTAATTCCTCCCCCCCTGCAGCGCAGCTCCCAGGACCCCCCAAAACAGTGTGAGCTGACTCTATCCATGCCCAGAGCAGAAAGAAGCCAGAGACAACTTCATGTTTTCCACGTTACATCCACAAGGAATACTGAGCATAATAACCAGAATGCTTAGGGTCAAGAGCCACAAGAAGGTCATCTTGCAGAAGTATCTGAATGCAGGATTCACCTGGTAAAGGACTAGAAACGCGATGAACAGAAAAGTAAATGGGTAGGGAAGGAGCAAAAGCTCCACCCTTCCAGCCCAGAGTAACCCGAGGCGTGTTGCGCAGAGCAATAAATGAGTCACAGGCACCCGATGAGTTTAGGTTCCCTTCATCAGCTACATGTGGGTGGCGCAAGGCTGGAACGAGATTCAGGAGCGGTGCTTCAGATAGGCTGTGTTCGCTGCGCGGAGCTAAATTAACCGTGGAAAGCTTGTTTAGCAAGGGATCTCCAGCAGCACTGTGTGTAGGAGCTGGCAGGCAAGCAGGGACAAACAGGCAATAACAAGGCTGCCTGTGTGCAGGATGCGTGCGGGGCTCTGGGCTGGTAGAGCAATGATTGCTTGGGGAGAGAGCCCTCCTTCATATAGGGCTCTGTGCATAGGAATCCTGAGAGCTTTAAAGAAAATGTTTAATGGGAGGGAGCGGGATGTGTCGGACAGCACGGGCACCGGGCTGTCTCACCCTCTGTGCAAGCACTGAACTTCACCAAGAAGTGCACTGGCTGCAAGTTGTCCAGGAAATCAGAACTGAGGATTATGGAGGACAGAAAGAGAGAACCAGTGATCCTAGCAGCCAGCTCCTGCCCCATGTATCTCGGCATTAGGGGGACCAAGCTGAGCAACTGGACAGTCCTCAAGTAAAGTGGGAAAAGTGGAAAAAGTGCCACATGTCTGGACAAAAAAATAAACAAAGCAAGAACAGCTACTCCTGATGTTTTCATGGCCAGAGGCAGGCATGTGTTTAGACAGCATCTACATATGTAAGAAGTAAATCAGGAAAATGCAAGCATAACCTGGGAGGGCTCCAGCTGCATGAAAAGGATCTTTGCACAAGTACAAGGACTAGGTCGAAACCCAAAAGCCTCACGTTTCATCAACTGCACAACAGGCCTTGCTCAAGCAGCTATCACTTCAGAGGAGTAACAATATGTAATTCCAGCCAGGACTGAAAGCTGCAGCTTCTCAAAACGGAATAGGCCGAGGACCCATAAAACCACATCGATTGTCGCCTACAACCTAAAGAACCAGATCAAATCCCTGAGAACAGTAACATGGACAAGGCTGAGCCATATTTCATGAAGAAACTGAGGAAAGGCATGATAATAAAGGCATTGGCTGTGCTCCCTGCTCCCTTGGCTTAGCTGGGGACCCATCTTCTCCTGTCTTTCATGGGAAAACTGGGGAGAAGCGACTGCAGGCCTTGCTGCTCCGCTCTCCCAAGGCTTCCCTGCAATCACAGGAGAGGTAGCCAAAGCCAAGAGCTTTGTCCACAGCCTCCTCAGTGTCCCTGCACCAGCACATGGAAAAGACAAGCACCTCGTGCGCACATTGGAGCCAGGCACTGTGACCCCTCTATACTGGAGCTGCAGAGACTAGCTCCCTTTTGGAGCCAGTTCATAGACACGCACCGTGGCTGCTTTGTGCTTATCCAAGGGCTGATCCAGCAAACGGTTACTTTCCTAATGCCTATTCATCTTCTTAATATCTCATCAGTATCACTTGTGCCCTTTCACGTTTGGATGGAGGTTGATTTGACATGCAACCGGTTCATCCTGAGGTACCAGGAGAGAGGCTCCTAAAACGTAATGCCAGTGAAAGGCACTTTGAATGGCTGTCCTGCAAGGACAGCCCTAGCTTTCAAATCAATCAAACCTGCTGTTGTCAGGCTCCTAAGGCAAGAGGAACATCCGAAATGACTCTGCACATGAAAACTCATCCAGAATGGCTAGGGACAGGGAAGCGTGCAAACGGGAGCTCATCACAAATCACTGAAGAGCTTTATTTTTAAGTCACTGACAGTGACTTACAACTACTTTCATCAAGGCTGTAAGGAAATGATGTTCCTGCAGTATACAGATAGGGAGAGGAGGGGATTGCTCATACCATGAACTTTCATCGTGCAGCTTTAATGACTGTCCTACTCACCAACTCTGCTAAGGCACACATTGACCAGAAGAGAGAAGTGATCTCATCTGATGGGAAAAGGCTAAGAAAATTGTCTTGTTCACGGTAAGCAAATGAAGGCTCAGAAGAAAACGGACTGTCAACACAGCAACGCAAGAGAGAGAGGAGAGTTGCTTAAGTTAAAGATCACAATTGACTTCTAAATGCAAAAGCAATGATCTTAGGATGAAATAAGAGGACTGGATTCTGAACTGGGAGCAATTCCCACTGGAAACTGCTGGCAGAACCAGCTCGACTGGAATATACTGGAACAAGCTATCAAAGGGCAAATTTTTGGGACTGCTCAGTGCCAAGGACCACATCAGCCACCCAGTCTTCAAAAGGGACCTCAGCTAGTGCATACAGTTACTACACAGTTAAACAGAAGCATTAACATTGATATTAAAAACTTCAGAGGGATTCCAGGGTGAATATATGAGAGACAGGTCATCAGGACTGAGGAAACTGTATGTATCATGCTCTGGCTGCAGCTCCATGATGAATCCATGCATCACTCAGTTTTTACAAGGCACAGATTAGCTTTGGATACCTACTTATGAGCAAATACATAGCTGGAAATTTTTGTAATGACAGCAGAAGAAGAGTTTCTACAAGCAAACGTGTACTGACTCATGAAGATTTCCGTGGCATCCAGACAGCCCCGACAGTAACGTAATGTGACAGGCTAGCATGGCTTGTGCTATAGGACTTGCATCCAAGGGGGCAGTGCACGGTACAGCCAGGTGAACTGTGGGCTGGAAAATAAATCCTTTTACCACTGTAAATCACAGAAAAAATTGAGTTGGGAAGGGACTCCTGGAGGTCTGCTGTCCAACCAGCTACGCAGAACGGGGAACGCCAAAACCAGATTAGCTTGCTCAGGGTCTTCTCCAGGCAAGTTTGGATCTGCAAGGATGGAGATCCCACTAGGTCTCTGGTCCCTCTCTCCGCATTGCAAAACTATCATGGGGAATAACATTTTTCTTTGTCTAATGGGAATTTCCCTTGTTGCAGCCTGTGTCTATTATCTGTTATCTTTTCACTGTCTGCCTCTGAGAAGCGTCTGGCTTCATAGCTGCTCATTAGGAAGTTGAAGACTGAAAAGAAATCACCCCCTCTGCCTTTCTTTTCTCCGGACTGAGCAAATCCAGCTTCCTCAGCCTTTCTTTGTACATCATGTGCTCCAGCCCACTGACCACCTTGATAGGCCTCCACTCAAGCGAATTGTAGTCATCACTGGGAGAAGGTCCTGAGCAAGATAGGCTCAGGATGCAAAAAAATTGGAGAGCAAGAATAAACAGTCATTCCAATGCCCCCATTTCTTTCTGTGTATGTTGGAAGCTTTAAAAGGAGGGTCCAAAACATGTTTTTGACGGTAAACCTTACTGAAGCACAGTGTATATGAAACTGCCTAAGTTGGTTTGATTGGGAGTCAGTCTCTGAATAACTCGTTTTGCTTTGCTTTGCTTTGTGATATTGAGTGATCTGTACAGATCTGGGACATCTTTTCATGAACTTCTTTTATTGCTGAACTCCATCTCACTGAAAAGGCTTCATGCAAACCAAATTGAGCAAATGACAGCAATCAGGCCCAAACGTTTCAGGCAGTAAAGCATATGCACAGTAAAAAAAAAGTCAATCCCAGCAGCTTCCCAAGTCGGGACTTCTGGGGAATCTTCCATGTTTAGCATTAAAAGTCACCAGATGCTTCTTCTACAGGACACAAAAAGCAATGTGTTAACAAAAGAGAAAAGGATATGCCATAGTTCCCTGTTACCTTGTGTGATTTATTTCCATAGGTTAAGCTGGAAAAGAGGGACCAATAATTCTGGTACTAGTCCTGATTGCTCTAAAGACCTCCCGGGATCCCTCTTGACTATGAGATCCTACAAGTCTCACTTTTTCTGGCACCATGAAGGTGGCATTTATGGTTGTACCCTGACACACTTTCAAGCTGGTAATCCCATAGCCCTGCGGAGAATGTAATGAACCATCCTCATGGAAAGTGGGAGCTGGCTACAGATGGAGTTGTCTGAGCTCTTAATGATTGCTGTTAGCTGCAGAGATTTGTTCCCCCTCACAGCCTGGATATCATCATAAGAGCATGGCAGGGCCTGACCATCAGAGCAAAGGAAATACGATGTTTTGTTAGGAAAAGGCATGGCCCTAAGGCACTGAAGCAGCCCACCTTTCCCAGGGGAGAGCCACTCTCGCCTACATCTACCTCCCAGGGATTTCAGAGAGCATTTTGGAAGAAAAGCATTAAACCTCAAGAACTTTACAACTCCTGAAGGCAGCTAAGGGAAATACTGTAAATATAGGCAAAAACTTTCCTAGCAGAAGTCAAACTCCGCAGTCTCTTCCATAAAGTGAGAATCTCTACTCAAGTGCAGAGCTGCTTTTGGTCTGCCCAGGATGTGCTGACAGCCTGCTCAGAGCTGTGCAAAATACAGACCAACTGCCTAGACAGAAAGACTAGCCTCCCCGATCCGGGTGTCGCAGAAAAGCTCGGGCATCAACCACGAAGAGCTAAACTGAAAATCTGTTAATCAGAAAAATCCCAGAGCAGTGCACTTAGCTTGGTCTTGCAACGCCGATGCCAGAAAAATCTGTGTGCTGGAGGAGCTACTCACAGTAGACCTGATGAAATGGAGTATCTAAACACGTGCTAGATATGTACCTGGCACATATGTTCAGAGCTGTGTTAGGCAGCTCTGTTTTAGAGCCTCGGGGCTCTAAATCTGTGAGATTCACATGTTTGCAGGCAGGCACTCTCTGCTGTTTGAAGCTTAGACCTTGCTCTGTAACTTCCCTGGTCCTCTTCGACTTCCAGGCTCTGAGGTCCAGCTTTGGGATCTGTCTGCAGCTCACAAAGCCAGAAGGGTATCTGTTAGCCCAGAAGATATGTCTTGGTACTTCAGAGATGTGGATGTTGTCACATATTATTCATGACAAGGAGATTTTGGCCAGTGAAGCATGGTGCCAAGGAGTGAAAACCCCTCTGTTCTCCCACCAAAACCTGCAGGAGAAAGAAGACACAACAGATTTTTGCCTTTTGGCTTCTTCACATTCAAGACTCCTGCAACATTATTTCCCGTTAACACCAATAACAGACTTCTTTTGCCAAGAACAAATTTAAGTTTCTGTTATTCAAATCAAGAGCCCTGACTCACCAGCTGGATAATTTAACTTGCTTTTCTGCAATGGACATATCATAAAAATACAATTGAATTAAAGCCTTGCCCTGTGTTCCCTCAAATGAGGCACAGGCGCCCTATTTCAAACAGAAAAGTCTGCACATACTGTACGCAGACTGTGGTTATATCCACATGATTGCCATGCTGGAACCAGCCCTATAATTACTCTCTTTAAAAAAAAAATGGGTTCTTGTATCCTGCCATAACAGTAGGATTTCTAGATGTGCAGTAGACTGTTTGCCTTTAAGCTCCCAATGCTGGGTTTTGAGCTCATAGGAAGTCTTTCTAGGCAGAAAAGTTTCCCAGAAACACTGGTCACAATCCCATTTTCAGTCAATATTTCTAGAAAGTACAGGGACCTTGCTTCAGAAATGCAGCTTAAAATGGGGCACATAACTCACTTCTGCACCTGAGCCCCTGAGCAACTTCAAGGAGGAGGAGGACTTCAGGTGTGTTGAAAG